CTGAAATAAACGCTCGAAAACAATAACCGAGAAAACGAGAATGTCAACCTTTACAAACTTACATATTATTGAAAGCAATATAAACAATAAGTCAAAAGACTGTATCTTACAATAATGTAAAACATGAACAATATAAATGAAGACAGACAAAGAACTCGACAGAATAAAATTAATGTAAATTATAATCAATAAAATTAATGTAGATTATAATCAATAATAATGATGACTGAATGCTATACTATAATAAAATATATTTTAGTGCATGTAATGTCTTTTTAAAATATTATTTTTATTTTTATATCCGGTTTCTTTCAGAGAACTGCTGATGCTCTTGTCTGACTATTCATTTTCACGTTCCTATGAGCATTTCCACTAAAACATTTGTTGAAATCGTAGTCCAGCGAGTGACATGATATTGCGATTTCTTCGATGACATATCCTCGAGTGTAATATTTGTGTGCAATTTTTTTCCAGCTATGAAAGGTCAACGATGAGAAGACAATAGCTCGTTCACTCTGTCTCATATAACTTTTTTTATCCACTTATGCTTAATATTGACTAAGGGGTGCCTGTTTACGCACGTGGAGGAAGTGTCGTAATACAGAATGACGTCGCATGTCCTTGCTGCTACATATTATATGTAATTCTCTTAATGTCAATTTACTTTAACTCTGAATACGTTATTCCGCGGGAATCGCTTTGATTAGGAATTAGCAACGAGAGGGCATTAAATACAATTGCTATTGCCTTCGATAATTTTATAATTAAAGAGCTCGATGAGAAATAAATTGATGCTCATATATTTACATTGTTTACATTGCGCGTATATGTTTATACAAAACATTTAACGTAATTTTTTTCGATTTCTTGTATGACATGTATTTCTTCAAAGTTGTAAAAATTATATATTTTACATTAAAATATTCACAATAAGGGATTTATTATATCAAAATCTATAATTTAAAAGTTTAATTATAAAGAGGAAAAAAATTTTTAATATCTTATAAAATGTTATGTGATATACCAGCTGTTACATAGTATAATGATAAACTGATGTATAAGATTATTATAATGAATAAATAAATTAAATACAAATATTTTATAAAACAACACAACAAAACAAACACACAACAACAACACAACACACACACACACACACACACAACACACATATATATATATAAAATTTTTGTTACAATCTTTAATTATAATTACATTGATTACTTTCGAAAATATATTCGATCCTGATGCGCTCTCTCTCTCTCTCTCTCTCTCTCTCCCCCCCCCTCCCTCTCCCCCTCTCTTCTCTTCTAACGCCAAAAGTGCAATTATATACATCCGACTTATATTTACGGTCAATTGATTTTGACTGCGGAAATGAAAACACTCGCTCAGAAGTATCGCCACAAGAACGGACGTGAAATCTCTAAAGTCACCGATACGCGAGATAGATTTAATTATGGTCTGAAGTTTTTGCACGAATTATCGGTCCTCTCAGTCTCTCGGGGGGAATGAAAGTTGCGGGGCCGTACGCCGGACGCGCACGTGTGTGTGGGCGTTATCGATCGGGCCCACGGGGCATTCGGGGTTTTTACAGCGGCTATTACTCCGACCGTATTTCATTCGGCGTATTTGTGGTTGTCGTTGATAAACGATACAGTTGTATTAACCCCCTTTAAAATACAGGGGAGACCACGGTATCTCAACCGCGCGCTCGCGATGCGGCGGTATTAATAACTGATTGCATGCGCGTCGTGCTGCATGCCCGCACGGATGCGTAACAATTGCGTAATTCCGCGCGGAAACAGATGTAACGATATGTGATAAAATGCGTGTTCCTCGTGCGCGCTTGTACATGTATCTCAATGATGCATGAATGATTTTTTTCATTTGTGCAGCAATAGTTGCTTGAATTAATCTTCCGGATTTACCTTAAAATTTATAACAATAATTGCTAACGCTAGGTGTATATATATATGACTCATTTAATTTATGTTAATTAAAAGGCCCTAATTAATTTCAAGAAAGCAAAATGACATAACTCATATAAGTAAAAAAGGAATACACGAATACTATACTCGCATTAGGAAAATTGAGTGCCTCCAGCAAAATTGTTTAGTTGAGGCATTTTGTAACAGTAACTAAATATTTTGTTTATGTAACAAAAAATTTAGTTGCTTTTGCAAAAGAATTTCTCTGCTTTGTAAATAACAAAAATATTTTTTTACGTCTACTAAATTTAGTTCGCATAAAAATTACAGTTTTGTTCGGTACATTTTAACCAAAAAAGATTTATCAAAGAGATTTACAATTCTATTGGGTCTAACAGATCCAACGTCAGTTTCAGAGAAATGAATTGATATATTGGCAAGATCGATACGAAACTGTTAATGAACTTGCAGTCGTATTTACGTAATTAGAGAGAGCTTTGAAGTCTATTCGTAATTCGCGATTATATTGGAATGACTGGACGACTATTTTGTGTGCAGTACCTGTCGCAACCTACAAACCGATCGAGACCAATTAAGTGGGAAGGACGTATTGACACGCTCGCATGTATATAGTCGTATAATGATCCATAGACTAACGATGTACATACACACGTCGATGCCGCTCAGTCAAGCGCCATGCAATGCTGCCGTAATAATATAATTGTCTCGGCACTTGACCCTCGTTAAACGCGTTGCTTAACCGACCACCGTTGCTTGGGAACGACCCTTTACCTACTTTTTATTCAACCCACGCGCACGATATGCTCGCATTCAGATCAACACAAGTCGATTAGATAATATTAATTGCAAGAACTTTTGAGAATATTTATCAATATATTCATTAATTTTCAATCTGTTCATTACGCAATTCTTGTTATTTTTTACATAATTATTTGATTCTATTTTAGATGAATGATTTATTTTTGAATGTATTTAATGTATACTGAGAACAGCTCGATTGGATCAACACTTGGTTGAAAAGTGACAAACTAGAAAATTCTGTCAATCAAAATTCCGATTATCTCAAGAATTTTAATAAATTTAATCAGAAAATCTTCTGGTTAAATTACTTAACTAATTAAAGCTTCTACAAAAAAAAATATCAAGTGTAAAAGATCAAAATTACTCATATTGAAAAAATATATAATTATCTACATACATAATGAATAATACTATTTTATGTAAATTTTTTAATTATAATCTAGTCATAACAAACGATTTAATCAAGCGATAATACTGGCACAGTTTAGAATCAACGGATAATTATTCTCGCATGTAATGTTCACCGGATGGCTCATAGGAATTTTCACCTTTGTATCCGTTGCTTAACGATCGATCATTACGTGCGGTTGGCTGAAATTCTAAACGTAGAACATTTGAAAGAGTAATGCGCACGAATGACGGATGCTTTAGATTAGTGGCTTACGCAGTCTAATTACTTCCATGCAATTAACAATGGGAAGACCCGCTTTGCTGTAGTCGCTCGGGGATTATACTTCCAGAACGAACGGTTTGTCTCTAGGAAAAGAGCATCGTTAAGCTCGTTGCTTTATAAGTACGCATAAATAGAGCGTGGTACTATGCTCATCCTGTACTGACAGGTACGAGTGACAATCGTGCTCCGCGGACAAACAAGAATAATTAAGATAATTAAGAATGAAATAATATTCTACGACTATGACGTTGAATCTTTCAAAATTATATTTAAAATAGAAATTTCTTAAATAATATTAAAATATTGAAAAATCATAAATTAATTTGTTTCACAGACGACAAGAATTATCAATATTACTAAACTAGTGTTGCTAATTGAATTATGCTCAATTTCTTCACTTCCAGATAAGTTATCCAGATAACCTTATCCAGGAGATACCTCCATACTTTGGGAGATATCTCTTGGATAAAGTTATCTAGAGGTGAAGAAATTAGGCATTAATTCGTAATATACATAAAGATATATCTATATTAGTTTTTACTTTATAATTTATTTTTATATGCTATAATTGTTTTATTAATGTTATAAATTAGTCGAGGACTCTTACAAATTCAGTAATAACATAAAGATATACGGGCAAATAAGAGTCTAATTTTTTAAAAAAGAGAACTTATATAAACAGTAATAATAATATTTAAAAAGCATACATAAGAATTTATAAATGTCATTACATGTTTCGGCTCTGTTAATCAATCTAAATAAAAATTTTATAAAATTTTATTCTCATACAAACTGAATAACTTTTCATTATTTGTCAAATTAGAACAGAACATTTTCAATGGAATTGATTCAATTGATGCATTTTTTTTAATAAAATTGACATACACAATATATACAATAATTTATAAAGTAAATTCGAAGCAACATACTTTTATACATTACTTATTTTTTATCTTGTTCGATCCATCATTAAATGTTAATTTCAGTAAAAAATATTTTCAAACATCTTTTCATATATCTATCAAAATAAATAAAAGAACATAAAAGTTATATAGGCATATATTTCAGTCTTTAAATTGCACATTTAACATGGTCGTGTAAGCTTCTTTACCAATTTTCTACGGATTAGATTAGCAATTTAATATTATATATCTGTATATATACACACATATATATATATATGTATAATATATGTATATACATGTGCGTTTGTATATATGTATATGTATATATATATATATAGACACGCGCGCGCGCGTGTGTATGTTACATATGTGCAAACACACAGCATACACAATAATGATTTATTGATTTGTATCGAGTAAAGGTACCAACGCTGACTGATCTTACATAAAGTGCGTTCGGGGAAACCCTACTAGCGCTATTTGTGTCATTCTATCTTTATTGTCCATTGCACGTAAAACAAGAACAGAATAATACAAATAGCATGGATAGCGTCATCCAGAACACGTCCATAATGTCCTTGAAAGCATTTACTTCACATCGATCGCTGGTATATTGCGACGTAGGAACTACTGCAACGAGCAGTTGTACGTAACGACTCGTGCCAGCAGTATCGCTAGTGCTCTATATATAGTCAGTCACATTTCATCAACCGTTTAAAAAGAGATTATAGGAAGATCTTCTAATAACATCTGTTTGTGCCATGGAATATTGGTCGATATTACCATCGATAGTGATCGGTGTGATCAGCATTCATTATCTTTTTAAAAATTATAACTTTTTTAAAAGAAATGGTATTATACACTTACCGCCTCTTCCATTATTCGGATCCATGACATCGATGGTATTTCGTCGAATATCATTTTTCGATTTCATACTGAAGATATACAATTGCTATCCAAACGCAAAGTATTTTGGATTCTACTTCACGACAACTCCAGTCTTTCTGCTTCGCGATCTGGAACTCATTAAAACCGTACTTGTTAAAAATTTCGATGCATTTCCAGATCGTCGAGATTTCGTCTTTAACAATCCTATACTTGAAAAAAATTTGTTTTCTCTTCACGGAGAAAAATGGCGGAATGTGAGAAATCTGTTGAGTCCTTCTTTTACTTCCAGCAAAATGAAAATGATGTTCACATTGATGTCCGAATGTGTTATGAATTTTACAAAATTTCTGTCAACATTGTCAGCAGATAAAGGCGATATAAACATGAGAGACGTCTGCTCTAAATATACAACCGATGTCATTGCTACATGTGCATTTGGAATCCAACTCAACTCTATGAAAGATCCAACAAACAAATTCCATATTTACGGCAAGGAAGCGAATAACTTCACAGTTCTTCGCGGTATAAAGTTCTTTTTTCTTGGAACATTTCCAAGACTCGGACGAATTCTCAATTTGAAAATTATGAACGATTGTGTTTCGGACTTCTTCGAGGATATTATAAGAACTACAATCGCCACCCGTGACGCAGAACACATTACACGTCCGGATATGCTGCAGTTGATGATGAATATCAGAGACAAAGAAGGTCGTAGAAAACTAGACATCGATGACATGATTGCGCAAGCGTTCATCTTTTTCCTTGGCGGTTTCGAAACCAGTTCAACCGCAATGTGCTTCGCAGCTCACGAAATTGCAGCTAATCCAGAAATTCAGACGAAATTACAACAAGAAATCGACAAAGCTTTAGAAGAGTCGAATGGAGAAGTGTCTTACGAAACTATTAATCGGCTCGAATATTTAGATGCGGTGGTATGTGAGGCTCTTAGATTATATCCACCAGTCGCAGTCTTAGAAAGGATTTGCGAAAAAACTTTTGAATTACCACCCGCATTGCCGGATGAAAAACCTTTTATCATGAAAAAAGGTATGCTTGTTATGATTCCAGTTCTTGCAATCCATCGTGATGAAAAGTATTACGATAATCCGGAGAAATTTGTTCCACAAAGATTTTTAAACAACAAAATGCGTAATTCTTCATGTTATATGCCGTTTGGATTAGGACCGAGAATGTGTATAGGTTACAAATTTGCCATGTTGGAAGTCAAAGTCTTGCTTTTTCACTTATTAGCGCGATGTGAACTGAAACCATCTGTGAAAACTACGTTACCAATGAAATATCGCAAAGATACAATAGTAATGGTGCCGGAGAATGGATTTTGGTTGAATATTCAGCGTAGAAGAAATATGCATTCTGTATTGGAATCTACAGTAATGGGAGCCGCAGGAAACATTTCGAATACGTAGTAGTAACATAGTAACATACATTTTATAAAAAATTATAATTATTCTTTAGAGTGTTTTAAGGCATGGTACTTTTTAGCACCATTATTAAATTGGCGATCAACATTATTTGTAATGTTATTGGTAGCATTAATTCATTATTGTGTTTTAAGTCCGACAGACCTCGACGTGCAGTTTACAGAGCTGATTAATATATATAGAAATTTTCAATAATAATTTGGAAATATTAACATTATTTAACACAAACTAATGTTTTATTTACAAATATGAACATTATTTAGACTATTATAATGATCTGTTTTGATCGAAAGAGTATTCCTTGTTTTATTTGATTTAATTTTGTCGAACTAAATTTTACTTATTACTGAAGTTACATTTGTAATAAAAACTATGTTTGTAATAGAAATTATCCATGCATATTTATGAACACACATATTACAGTATTTTATGCAGTAATAATAACGTCAAGATTATATATTGTAATATTATTCAGTGCGAACATAAATAATTAATTAAAATTAATAAATTAATAGTTTTCTAACTCTAAAAATAACTTTGATGTAAATAAAATGTCTATATAAGCCTTCGCAGATGTTTTTTTTTTTTTTTTTAGTGCGTAAATTACACATTCATAAGAAATATAAGTATATAAATAATATAAAATATTTAATTATTTAGTATAAAACACATTAAATTTTTATTATAAACAACACATTTATCTAAAATAGTATATATCATTAAAAGGTTAATATTTAAAATTTTTTCGATTTGCCCAATCATTGAGTCATGTCTACCGTCTATCCACTAATACATTTATGTATCTTATGTATACGAAATTGCACAATGATTCTACATAATTTATTGCTTGGATATCAATATAGTCAACAGTTAATCATTTGTATTGACAAATTAATAATAGTAATGTAATTTGTATTGACAATAAGTAATAGTAATTATAAATGTCAAATTAAAACAAATTAAATACTTAATTTTATCAAATTGGTAAATAGCACACTGCGTAAAATTGTTACGTAGGTCTTGATATCTTTATCGACGCTATTGGTTTTGCATTAACAAGCAATGGTAGAAGAAAATGTAACGAATAAACGTAAAGATAAGAAATACAAAACATAAAATAGGTAATAACAAAGATTTTTATGTTTGTATATAATGCTATTTTATTATATTATTAATAAGATCATTTTTGACATATACAAAAAACCTAAACAAAAAAGCATATGTATATATTATAGAAGTAATAACGTAAGGCACATTTGAATTCAATCACTGACAATAAGAACTTAACAATAATACATCTTACATAGTGAATTATCATACGAAATTTCAAGATATAAGTAATTTGTATACTTTTATTAAAAAGTTAGCTCCATAATTGAAAAATTTTATAGCTGGATTTTTATTTTAGTTTGGAAACTATATCTTATAAAGTAATGATATAAAATTGAATTGACAAGTAAGATCGCATATATTGTGGATATTATTGTTTCATTGAAATTAATAAATAACGAACTATGGATTAAAATCTAATTGACTGAAAGATATCAAGTAATTTAAATATTATAGTATTAAGTTAAACTGACAAACTATAAGCGCAAATAATTTATAATATTATCTCTAATGTACTAATGTAATATTGAAGATGGCAATATTTAAGGCCGAAACGTTTATTTTTAGTTAATCACATGTCTTTTTATTATTTTTGTAAAATTTATGTCTATTTATTAATTTTTGTAAGTTTTATAATTTAATATATGTAATATATTTTCACTAACAAGATCTAGTGTGTCGCAAATGCTCAACCTTTGTAATTGTTTATTTCGTAGCCACGTATTTGATGACAATTTAGCTATATATATATATTTTTTCCGATTTTCAAAACCATTAACTGTGAGATGACAGAAAAGCTTTGTATTCCCGATCAATGACACTGACGGCATAACGTCATGGCCAGATAGATGCTCCTCTTTGTCATGGCAAGAACAAATCCGAAGTACTAATTTCAGTCGAAGATCATTGCCGGAGAGTACCTAGCGCCGGAGTTTACCGTAATTTTTTGTCGCCAGTCTGCTGCGCGTTTCATCTTTTATAAAAAAAAATTTCGAGCTCGATCAAGACTTTTCGATATCACGAAGAATGCACAATTTTCTCTCAAGTGTGCTCGTTAAAGATTCAGGAAAACTGCCGAGCATGCCGTATTATAGTAGAAAGCCATGGAAGAAGTCAAGGCTGCGACTGCGGTGTGCGTGCAACACTGCAACGTGCACGGCGCGTAATATTGGATGCGACCGTTTCACCGGACCTATCCGGCCAAGGCCGCACCACTTCCGAGAAAGGCCGTGACTTGTTCGTGCCGCGGTCTCGTTTCTATCAATCGACGGGCGCCAGTCGCAATGAGCGAAAGAGGTGAACGGGGTTGGGCAAAACTATACTTAACCCGCCGGGTTAAAGGCAGGTCCCTGGCTCGAGCGCGTGTCCCTGATTACAATGCACGAACGTGGTTCTCGATCCGCCGTCGTATGTCGGTTGTTAGTTTCGCGGAAATGTGCATCTCGCGTCGTGTTGCATCGAGGAAGTCTGTGTCCGCTAGTTCATCGCGCTTTCTCGAGACGCGAAAGTCGCGGGCTTGATTCACAATTCCGAGGAATCTTCTCGGAAATCTGTCGAGGAAGGTAACATTCATACTTTATAAATATAATAACCATGCGATTTTGACTCGTTTTGTGGGATTGATGATAATTTAATAAACGTAAAGGAGAGAAAATTACTGATTAATTAGCTGTTCAGTTCATATAGTGCTCGTTTTTCATTCCCTGTTATAAAGAATAGCATTGTAAATTATAGAAACTAGTAATAGAGACCTACTCCGTGGAAGAATTAAACGATTTGATAGTATCCAGTATTGATTTAAATCATTTATTGAGAAAAATTTATATATTTATAAGAAAATTTATTTAAATATAATTAAAAAAATTTTTTTAATTAATTTTTCAAATAAGCTTTAAGGAATTAAATTTTTGTAAAAATGTAATTAAATATTTATTTCGCTAAAATTCGTTGCGAAGAAATAACGAGAGAATTTGGATCTGACAAAGTTTAATCCGACTCGTGATGTTATATTTCGTTTTCAACTTTTTGTTTTACTTTTTAGATTCGATTTATCTTATCGCGAATTATTAGTGGGATTATTATCGATTTTGATATTCGGGGAGAACCCTTGTGGAAAGGATTAATCTCCGCCGTTCGGTTTTCTTTGCCTTTCTCACTAAGGATTTAAATGGAATCGTCAATCATTGGATTTATTGGGTTACCTCGTTAATTCCCTAAATTATCGTGCCGCGCCCCATTGTAGGGATTCTCAATTTTTCTTGTTGAAATGATATACGGTTTCACTTTGAGCATATCAAAACGTATTCATACTGCTTTATCGCCGCTAAAGGTCAGAAAAAATACAAGATTATTTCTGACTGCGGTCAATCGATTCACACAGTTCACAAAATTTGCTATTTATAATTTTTCGAGAATAATTAAGACGGTCAAAAAGTCAACTGTGATTAATGATTGCGTTTTAAGGCACTAATTCGATATCCGATTTTGCCCATGGGTCGGTATATACTTGAAAAATTGTCGGCTATCATCAACTAAACAATCAGATAATCAAAGCTAATCGTCGGCATCTCGATTACTCAAGTATGAGTGACAGAGAAAATATGGAACTATAATAAATTTCGTATTTGTATTTTATATATTTTAATATTCAAAAAATTATTTCTTAATGTAAGTGAAAAATATTATATACAAGATGAACTAATAGTGTAACTGGGAAAGGAATGATTCTACATAAATAAATAATATGGACAGAAATAATAGTTTACAGTTAGTTTGAGATCATTAAATCGAAACATATTTAAGTGCTCAAATCCAGCGAATATTTGAATTCGATTTTATCGAAAGCAAAACTTCACATGAAAAAATTTTATTCTATATGTTTTTGACTTATTTTTTCACGTAGCCTTATCCCCTTCCTATTTTTGTCACCAGTTCACTAATACCTTATGTCTTTATTTCTTTTTTATTGAATTGATACATATCATACCAAATATGATAGTAATCTAGTTTTAAAATACATACATTATTTCATTCTTTTTTAAATAATAGGAAAAAAGAAAATGAAATTTAATTGAGATTACGTGGTTAAATCAATGATTGAGATCGACATCTTTAAAGATAATTTTATTTATGTACATAGCCAACCTCAAAAGAATTATAACGATAGTAAATTAGTCTTAATAGAAATACGTTTTGCGTGTCGGTTCGTTTTATGTGTAAAACACTATAAAATTCTAGTTGTCGGAAAGATTTTTTGCAAGACGCCTTGGAGCGTTCCCGTGCGGTCTATTGTGAATTCTAACGAGACCTCGCACACACGAGCTAACGAGGGACGAAGCATCCGAGGGAACGTTACGGTCCAGCCCTAGACACAAAAAGTGCTCGAAAACGGTTGCAGCCACGGTTAGTACCGGTGGTTCTCCCATCCGGTCCGTGGTTCAGGACTCTAAGTGGCGGCATAGGTGCCTATAATAGGGCCCCTACGTCTGGCCCTTCAGGCTATTCTAGTTTTCTCCATGAATTCCGAGAGAGCGCCGGTAGATTCCACGATACGCCGTCATAACTCTTTCGCTCTTGCATTCGGCGAACCGATCGAGGCGTACGATTGATTTATCAGCCGAATTATGAGCTCTCGGACAGCGGCAGCTTTATGACGCTTAATCGCGCCCGCATATTTGCGCGCGATCGTAAAATCAATTTTTTAATGGCTAATCATTCCAATTAAAAGAATAATAACTGAGAAAAGTAGACATTGAGTATTTATTGGATAATATATGTGAATTCTTATTCGAGGTACAGACTAAACAAGGAATGTAGCAAAACTTTTTCGTAATTCCAAGTTCTGTATTATTTTAATAATCGGATAGTCTATGAATGATCATTTAATTCTGTAAACTAATTTCAGTCAGCATAAAATACATCGAATTACATTAATATGACT